AGACACTACATGCATTTCAAAATTAAGGAAACTTACATTATAAGGAAATGCAACACATAAAACAGTCACCAGCTGAACTCTGTACAGCTAAAACATGACTACGGAATCCAAAAGGGGCTTCCACTTTGCACAGTTCAGTTTGGGTTTTTTACCAGTTACTTAAATCAACTAGCTTCATGACACAACAAACAACAATAATGTTATCAACAGGTAAACTCATGTGATCCAGTTCAGTTTAAAGTGTAATAGACAGTTTGGTTGGTTTTGTTATGTTGACTGCATTTGCTTGTTTATCCATGTGGTGCTAGGATTTAACATTAAGACACCAGACAGTGTAACTAAAGAAGTGCAGTGGATTTTTCAAAGTCAGAATGAAAAGAAAAATTCGTAACCAAAAAGACAAAAAGATTACATGCTAGGGAAATAATGAAAGAGGCTTTCACAAGAGAAGGAATTATGGTCTTCTGATTGTTATGCAGGTGGACGACTATGATGCAACATTCAAACTCAAATAAAGAAAATTGCAACCATATTGATCTCAAGAACTCAAAAGGAAGATGAGAACCTCACATTGAAATGCCAACCAATTTACCAGGGACATTGTCCGTATGCTAAAAGTAATAATTTGACCTGATAAAAGAGGCTACTATGTTCTTCTTCAGGTGACTCCTGAGTCGACATGAGTGTCATCTGTAGATGCTTTTTACACCATGCGGCAGCCTAATGATTAAGAACTTAATATAAGCAATCTGTATCATCAAGATCACGGGTCACTTAATTAAGGAGAAAAGGGATGAAACAGAACTTACTTTGGCTCCTAGGCCTACAAACTGCCCTAGGCATGCAGATATGTCTGACGGCAGATATTTTGCAGCCACATGCAAAATGGTTTTGTTCAATTTGCATTGAGAAATGTCGAGACATGTGAAGTCTTCCCAGAGTGTCCAGTAAAATGTCAAGGTAGATAACAAAGAGTTGCTACTAAAATGAGATCAAGCTAGCTGTTTTACCAAACCAGAAGAATTTGAGCCAGATCTTCCATAAATACATTTATTAAATTGCAACATCATTCATAACACACAACCTTTATATAGCTCTCGCATAAATACATTTACTTGTTTTGCTGTAGCTCTGGCATGGTATTTCATTCTAACAAAACCTCTATATAGCATCAGAGCTCTGTTTGCTTACAAGAAAATAAACAAGATACAACAGCAATGACGAAGAAAGCATTTACCAATTGTTTACCACCGAAAAGACAAACCATTTTGGAAAGACCAATTCAGACACTGTCAGCAGTACCAAATTCAAAAGTATGCTGAAGAACACAGGTAAAGCGTCGTCGATGAATGAGTGAATTATTGTAACTCTTACCTAAACATATGCTCAAAGGTCAAACTCATAGAGAAGATAGAACTTATGAATAGTGACTCTTCAGTTGTCATTTCTGTGGTTAACTGCAAATTTAAGAATTGAAACTAATAGCATGTTTGGCCAAGCTTCTAAAATCAGCTTATTTTGAGAAGTGTTTTTACTCAAAAGTACTTTTGGTGAGAAGCAGTTTGTGTTTGGCTAATTAATTTGAAAAGCACTTCTAAGCAGCAATTAGTGTTTGGCCAAGCTATAAAAAAGTGATTCTAAATGTATTTTTCTCAAAAGTGTTTTTCAAAAAAGTGCTTCCGGAGAGAAGCTACTTTTTTCTGCTTCCACTCAAAAGTACTTTTTTTTCTTCTAAAAGCTTGGCCGAACACTTCAACTTTGAAAAAGAAAAGCACTTCTTTTTAAAAAAGAAGTGCTTTTAGCCTTGGAGAAGCTTGGCCAAACAGGCTATAAAAATGGTGTTCCCAATTTCTCAAGCCTTGGCACATTAGTTCTCTCAACCAAATTTGTCGTAGTCTCCATTTGATTATAGAAAATCATTTCTTGTAACTGGAATGTGTACATACATCACCTATGGCAATGATAAACCCACAACCTAGTTCCCAGCTTTTGAGTCTTTACAGACAGTAAACCGAATTCTCCTTTTCTCAATCCAATTAATCCATGGCATTATACTGTGAGATCAAGAAAAGTATGTCTAATAGTCATCAGGATACTTGTAAGGATTCTATAAGAGAAGCCACTTCTGATTTCTCTGACAGATCTAACTCACCAAGTTCATCAAGCAAGTCAACACGATTCTCAACAACCTGCGGGATAGAAAGGACGCTATTGAACCAATAATAGGATACAAATAACTAGCAAATAATATCAAGGAATAGCTTAACATTTAAACAAAGCTAAGAAGTTATTAGGTATGATTTAAGATAGTGAAAGCCATCAAGAAGAAAAGAAAAGACGAGTATAGAAAGTATCCGAAAAGAACAAAAGATTTAGAATATATTAGTGACAAGTGGAACAATGTTTGTGGAAAATGCCTTATCTTGGGCAGAATACTTTCGGTGGCAACTTACAAACCAAGTTATAGCAAGCTTCTATAAGAGCACAAAACACAAACATCTACCCTACCGGCTTGAATAAAAATGTTGAGCTTTTTTCATTGATTTTAATATTACATATGACTTGGACACAACTCAGCTAAACTTGCACAAACAAGGAAAAAGACAGAAATAACTTTCCTATAAAACCCTCATTCTTTCTAATCAGCGTATACACCTTTTAAGCTCCAATCAGAAGTCCTTACTTTGCATCCTTATATGAACTATATTAAGGTCATTGCATTCAGCCATTCACTTAGTTCCTATTGATATTTTTTTTATCAGTAAGTTAAATTTTATTGACAAAAGAAGCCAAGCACTAAGCTAGCGCCGGAAGTCACAGAATGAGAAGGCCCTGTATACAGAAACAAACTAGATATCTTTACGTATATAATACATACATGAATAGGTGTGCTCTTTCCTTTGAACATTTTCCTTCACACGAAAAACAAAACCTTAAAACAATCTACACTAGTTCCAAAGGTGTTTATCCAGTGGCGGAGCTACAAGTCTAGCTATGAGTTCGGCAGAACCCAAGCTTCAACTCAGACTCTGTATTTGTGTTAAAATATCTATTGAATATGTGTAAATAATCTATCCCGAACCCACTAACTTATCTTGTCCTAGAATACGGAATCCATATACTTAAAATTCTGACTCCGCCTCTAGTTTCAGCAAACTACACCTCATAATAATGAAATTATCAAAAATACAATGCAACTTCTAAAAACTAAAGGAAACGTGATGAGGAAAAAATACAACACTAGAATCGAATAACTAAAACTGATATTAGTCATTTTGACCTCTAAAGTCAACTTAGGGCACTAAAAAGTGGAACAACTGAGCAGAATCTAATAAAAAAAAAATTACAGAAACTAAACCCTAATAAACAATCTAAACTACTTCCAATAGCAATTAATTCAAAACGAGACTCATAATAACAAAATTACAGTGAATTAAATTCTGAAATAAAAAGAAATTTATACAAATTAATTGTGAAATGATACAAACAGTTGAATCAAATGAATGAAATTGAAATTAGTCAATTTGACCTCTAAAGTCAACTTAGGGCACCAAAAAGTGGGACAAAATGAGTAGAATCTAATCAAAAATCACTGAAACTAAACCCTAAAAAACAATCTACACTATTTCAAATAGAAATTTCATAAAATTATAGTGAATTAACTATTGCAATACGGAGAAAATTTATACAAAATAACTGAAACACCGACAGAGGAAATACAAACAGTTGAATCAAATGACTGAGATTGAAATTAGTCAGTTTGGCTTCTACAGTCAAGTTAGAGCACCTAGATTGAAATTAAACCCTAAAAATGTAACACTATTTCTAATATCAAGCTGACACTCATAATAACGAAATTTATAATGAAATAACTTATGAAAAATACTAGGAATTTATGAAAATGAAATAACAGATGAATAAAAATAAGTGCAATTGGATTTTTGAATTATGAGCTAAGAATAAAAGCTTACATCGGAAGATTTGATAGCTTCGACCAAGCTTCGTATATCTCTGCCGGACTTTGGTTTTGAGTAGTTCATTTTCTCTCTCTGTGAATTTTCTCTTGGAATTTTTCCCGCCTTTGCCTATATTTATAGTGAGAGTGGAGGAACTTATTGATAAATTTATAAATTTTGTTAGTACCCTTGAATTTAAAGTCTATTTACATACTGATACCCTGTTCGATGTAGTATTAGCTCAGGTGCCCCGTTTTGGTTTTTTTTTTTTTTTTTTTTTTTTTATGTGTCACTTTACTATTTTGAGGAGCTCATAAATAGCAGAAAATGATTTACTATGCCCATTTATGATTTGAATAGCAGAAAATGACCATACAAAGATCTTTAATTTTTTTAATTGACAAATCTCCTATTTAACTTTATTCGTTCCAATTTATGTGACACATTTTTCTTATTAGTTCGTTAAAAAAATAATGACGCACTATATTTAAAAATAATTTAACATTAAACTTTTATTTTATTCATTTTATTCGTATTGAAAAGTTTTTATAGTCACACAAATATTATAAAATGTTTAAGATCATAAGTTTCAAATGTCTTTTTGTCACACAAATATTATGGCATTTTAAGACCACATGGTTCAAAAGCCTTCTTTTTTCAACAAAAGGAGTATTATTATTAATCTCCTATGAAAATAATTATATAACTGAAATAACATTTGCTATAAACTACAAAATTAAATCTTTCAACCATAGATAAATAGGTCCAACTTTAAATTTTATTTCGAGGCTGAAGGATTAAGTTTTCCTACGTGTGTGCCCAATAAGTTTAAGGCCCATAATTAATATTTAATTAATGAACAAATCTCATCCGTCCGATCGGTTACTTGATGGACGTACCGGATTAAGTAAAAATATCTATAAATTGGTCTCTCCCCACTCATTAGGGTTACCGTATTTTATTTCTCTCTTATATCACTAAAGGCGACAATAACGAAAGTTAGGGTAAGAAACCAATTCCAATTAACGCTTCCGCTTCGTGATAATGGTTTACGATTCAGGTATGTTTTCTTCAATAGTTTTATGTAAGATTATCATGTTCAAGATCCTGATATGAATCAAGTTTATGCTTACACGTGGTATCATGAGCCTGGGATTTGAATTGATAATTTTCGATAAAGTATGTAATGTTAAACACATATATGTAATACGTGTGCCACCTTATGGATTACAGTAGCCATGGAAGAAAATTAATATGCACAATTATTTTTTGTTTGCGTTTTATGTCCGTTTTCGGACTCCACATTCTTTGTGCAATTAATAATACAACACTATACTAAGAATTAAAATACTAGTCTTTGTTGGTTTGGTGTTGAAGTGCCGAGATATATTTATTTATATCTTCACCCTTTTCAAATGTGATTCAGCATTGAATGAAGTTATATTGATTAAGATTACGAAAAATTCTGATGATTGTTACTACTTTTAAGCAATTTGGGGCCATGATATTTATAAATTAAATAAAAGGAGATTTGATGTTGAATCCCTAACATGCCTATTTGCCTAATGTTACTGCCGATGGCGTTGTCTGTTTGATCTCCTTTAGAGTTTCAGTGCTATCTAAGGATTAAGTATTAAGTGTTTGATCTCCATTAGAGTTTCAGTGCCATCTAAGGATTAAATATTAGGTATTTAACGTTATTAGCAGTGCTTAATTAATGTATACTTTGAAGTTACGTAGTTGGTTAGTCACCAAAGTGATCAAACTACATTGTTTAAAATATTCACATGCATAAAATTTTCTGATATTTATTTTATGTGTGCATTTATGTTTATATAGTTTGTTAGTCACCAAAGAGGTCAAACTAGTATATTCATGAAAAATATGTATACATAAAATTATAATTTATCCATAAAATTAATGAAATGCCAATAATTAAAAATTAGTGGATAAATTAATTTTTACTATTGCTAGAACTTAAGAATTTACCCAAAGGTGAATCAATTATTCTATGAATAGTGAATATGATGAGGTAAAATTAATATTCTTTAGTCAAATATATATTGTATGTCCAAAGATGGCATATATATTTGGTTAAAATATTTAATTACCTATTGAAGACTAAATGGCATTTAAATTATGATAGTGTGTCATAGTATCTACCCAAAGGAGAATTGCGATATACTTTTATTGTTTTACTGAATCCATATTGATTTGTGAGCATGTATTATCTATTTTGCAGCTATTCCTCTTCATTCGCATGCTTCGTTTGTTACTATGTTCAACGGATTGAACTTCTCTGAATGGCATGAACAAATCCAGTTCCACTTAGGTGTAATGGATCTTGACTTGGCTCTGCTGAATGATAAGCCCGTTGCCATTACTGATACGAGCAGTGCGGATGAGAAGTCTTTCCATAAAGTATGGGAACGCTCTAACAGGCTGAGCCTTATGTTTATGCGAATGAGTATTGCCAACAACATTAAGAGTACTATTCCACAAACAGAAAGTGCCAGGGAATACCTGAAGTTTGTGGAAGAACGTTTTCGTTTTACAGATAAGTCTCTCGCTGGTACACTAATGGCTGAACTCACGACCATGAAGTTTGATGGGTCGCGTAGTATGCAAAACCATATCATCGAGATGACTAACATTGCAACAAGACTTCGGACCTTGGGGATGAAAGTGGATGACTCCTTCTTGGTTCAGTTTATTCTGAACTCGTTGCCTCCTGAGTATGGACCTTTTCAAATTAACTATAACACTATTAAGGATAAATGGAATGTTAGTGACTTATCCAGTATGATTACTTATGAGGAGTCAAGACTTAAGAAACAAGGGAGTCATTCAATTAACCTCATGGGTCAAGGAGCTGGTAAAGGACTTAATTTGAAGGCCAACAAGTTCAAGAAGAAGAAAGCACCTGCTAAAACTCCACAGGATGCTAACAAGTAACATAAGGCAGATACTTGTCCTTTATGTAACAAGGAAGGACACTATCAGAAGTGCTTTTGTATGTTTCGAATCAAAGTTAGTAGAAGTTCCTAATAATACTTGGTGGCTTGATTCTTATGCAACTGCTCATGTATCTACTACGTTGCAGGGATTCCTTATGATCCAAACTACAAATCCAAATAAGGATTTCTTGTTCATGAAAAATCGTATGAAGGCTCCAATTAAAGGCATAGGGACTTATCGTTTGATCATGGAGACTGGACGTCACCTTGATCTATTACAGACTCTTTATGTACCTTCATTTTCTAGGAATTTGATTTCTCTTTCAAGATTTGATGTTTCTGGATTTGATATAAAGTTTGGAAATTGATGTTTTAATTTATATAAGAATGCTATTTTTTTTTATAATTATGGTATTCTTAATGATGATTTATATAAATTGAAACTCGATATTGACTTTTTTGAATCCCTTCTTACTGTTCAATATAATGTTGGAATTAAACGTAGTTCACTAGATGAAAGTTCTGCTTACTTGTGGCATAGACGTTTGGGTCATATATCCAAAGAAAAGTTAGAAAGATTAGTAAAGAATGAGATTCTTTCGAATCTAAATTTTACTAATCTTACTATATGTTTGGATTGCATTAAGGGAAAGCAAACCAAGTATAGTAAGAAAGGTGCCACAAGAAGCATCCAACTTCTTGAAATTATACACACCGATATTTGTGGGACCCTTTGATGTTTCATCTTTTGGTGGAGAGAAATATTTTATCACTTTTATCGATGATTTTTCATGTTATAGATACATCTATTTGCTGAAAGAAAATTCTCAACCAGCAGATACTCTCAAAATATTTGTTGATGAGGTTGAAAGGCAATTAAATAAAAAGGTGAAAATTATTAGGTCAGATGGAGATGGTGAATATTATGGAAAATATAATGAATCAGGACAATATCCAGGTCCATTTGCAAAGTTCCTCGAGGAACGTGGCATATGTGCCCAGTATACTATGCCAGAAACACCTCAACAAAATAGTGTTGCAGAAAGGCATAATCGAACACTTATGGATATGGTTAGGAGCATGATGAGTAATTCCTCATTACCCAAACCATTGTGGATGTATGCTCTTAAAACCGTTGTATATTTATTAAACAGGATTCCTAGTAAGGCAGTTCTAAAAACTCCTTTTGAACTATGGGCATGTAGGAAACCTAGTTTAATGCACATGCATATTTGGGGTTGCCCAGCGGAAACTAGAGTTATAATCCACAAGAAAAGAAATAAATTCTCGAACAGTATGTGGTTACTTTATTGGTTACCTAGAGAAATCTAAAGGGTATGTGTTTTACTGTCCAAACCATAGTTCGAGAATTGTTGAAACCGGTAATGCAAGATTCATTGAAAATAGTGAAGTTAATGGGAGTGTTAAAAAATAAAGTGTATAAATAAAAGAGGTGAGGGTCAATATTCCATTACCCATGAATGTGCCTACTTCCACACAAATATCAAATATTATTCCAGTTGTTGAAGAATACTTTGACAACACCGAGCAACATTTGGATGAAACACTTTATGAATAAACTAACTCACAAATATCTGACACAAATGAACCACAAGAAATGCCATTAAGAAAATCTCAAAAAGTTAGAAAATCGGTTATTTCGGATGATTACATGGTTTATTTGCAAGAGTCAAATTTTGACATTGGTCTTAATAAAGATTCGGTTTCATTTTCACAAGCCATAGAAAGTAATGAGTTTGACAAATGGATTGACGCCATGAAGGAAGAGTTAAAATCCATGGAATATAATAAAGTCTGGGATCTCGTTGAATTGCCATAAAGTTCTAAAAAATCGGGTGTAGATGGGTCTTTAAGACCAAACATGATTTAAATGGCAATATTGAACGATATAAAGCCAGACTTATTGCCAAGGGTTATACTCAAAAAGGAGGCATTGATTATAAAGAGACCTTTTCACCGGTCTCAAAGAAAGACTCGGTAAGAATTATTATGGCTTTGGTGGCTCATTATGATTTAGAGTTACACCAAATGGATGTGAAAACTACCTTTCTTAATGGAGATCTCGAGAAAGAAGTCTATATGGACCAATTAGAGGGTTTCAAAACTAAAGAAAAGGGTCAAATGGTGTGTAAACTGAAGAAGTCAATATATGGACTTAAACAAGTCTCACGACAATGGTATATAAAGTTTAATAATACCATAACATATTTTGGATTTTTGGAAAATACTATTGATCGGTGTATATACCAAAAGATCAGTGGGAGCAAGTTTATATTTTTAGTCATATATGTTGATGATATTCTACTTATTGCTAATGATTTAGGCATATTGCGTGAGACTAAAGATTTTCTCTCTAAGAATTTTGAAATGAAAGATATGGGTGAGGCATCCTATGTGATAGGCATAGAAATATTTTGTGATAGATCACAAAGATTATTAGGATTGTCTCAGAAAGGCTATATCGAAAGAGTTCTAGAGAGATTTAACATGAATAACTGTTCAGCATAAATTGTTCCAATTCAAAAAGGGGACAAATTTAATCTCATGCAATGCCCTAAGAATGATGTAGAACGAAAAGAAATGGAATCAATTCCCTACTCTTCTATTGTTGGTAGCCTGATGTATGCTCAGACTTGCACAATACCGGATATTAGTTTTGCTGTCGGAATGCTGGGAAGATATCAGAGTAACCCAGGAATTGATCACTGGAAAGCTGCAAAGAAAGTTTTGAGGTACCTAAAAGGAACGAAGGATTACATGCTCATGTATAGGAGATACAAGTATTTGGAAGTTGTTGGAAATTCGGATTCAGATTTCACTGGATGTATTGACACTAGAAAGTCCACGTTTGGTTATTTGTTCCAATTGGCTGAAGGAGCAATATCATGGAAGAGTGCCAAACAGTCTGCCATTGCTACATCCACGATGGAAGCAGAATTTGTGACGTGTTTTGAAGCCACAATTCATGCATTATGGTTGCGAAACTTTATTTCAGGATTTGGGGTTGTCGACACCATTACCAAGCCGCTGAAAATTTACTGTGATAATTCTGCAGTCTCCAGGAACAATAAGTACTCCAAAGGTGCCAAGTATATGGAATTAAAGTACTTTACCGTCAAGGAGGAAGTTCAGAAATAAAGAGTGTCACTTGAGCATATTAGAACTGATCTCATGATTGCAGATCTGTTAACGAATGGTTTACAGTCAAAGATATTTAAAGAACATGTACATAGTATGGGTCTCGGTTGTATTTATGATTCATATATTTATGATGTTTCGACACTCTGAGCTTATTTATGTGTTTCTGATATACATTAGTGATTTCCTGTTTCTCATAATGGTGTACACATTATTGTTTTGAGATATTACAGGATAAGTCTCAATGAGACATTATTGTGGACTATAATATTTTATATCTTATGGACCTGGTACGATGAGTTACTAATATTGTAGTATATGGAAGGGAGTTTGTAGACAAATTATATATAACTGCCAGAACTCACATTTAGTAGTTTATCGTATTATGGTATTTATGATGGACATTATAGAAGAGATTTGTTTATGCGCAACTAATGTTTATATTATTAAATATTAATATTATGTGATTATTGGGCCAAATGGGAGAATATAAGTTTTTCTACGTGTGTGGCCCAATAAGTTTAAGGCTCATAATTAATATTTAATTAATGAACAAATCTCATCAGTCCGATTGGTTACTTGATGGACGTACCCGATTAAGTGAGAACCTCTATAAATTGGTCCTCTCCCCACCCATTGGGGTTATCATATTTTATTTCTCTCTCCCATCACTAAAGGCGACAGTAACGAAAGCTAGGGCAAGAAACCAATTCTAATTAACGCTTCTGCTTTGTGATAATGGCTTACGATTCAGGTATGTTTTCTTTAACAGTTTTATGTAAGATTATCATGTTCAAGATCCTGGTATGAATTAAGTTTATTCTTACAAAGGATTCCAAGGTAGGGGTGTTCCTGGGTCCACTTGGTTCGGACCAAAACCAAAACCAATAATATATGACATAATTCTAATAGAATTATCATTTTCAAAATTAACAAAATGTAACAACCCGGCCGATCGTTTTGAGTATCACAACCCCGTTTCTTCCATTTACTGCTCAATTTATACCTTACAATTAATTTATAACTTATTGGGTTAGTTGGTTCGGTCCGGAAGGATTTCGGAGTGAAATGAGACACTTAATCTCATAATTGAAAACTTAAGTTGGAAAAGTTGACTGGATATTCACTTATGTGTAAACGACCTCGGAATTGAATTCTGATAATTTCAATAGCTCTGTATGGTAATTTTGGACTTAGGAGCGTGTCCGAAAAATTATTTGGAGGTACGTAGTGGAATTAGGTTTGAAATGGCGAAAGTTTATTTTTTGGAAAGTTTGACCGAGGGGTTGACTTTTTGATATCGGGGTCGGAATCCGATTCTGAAAATTGAAATAGGTCCGTAATGTGAAATGTGACTTGTGTGCAAAATTTGAAGTCATTCCGGATTGATTTGATGTGTTTCAGCACAAGATATAAAATTTAAAAATTTTAAAGTTCATTAGGCTTGAATCTATGTGTTATTCGTATTTTTAGTGTTGTTTGATGTGATTTGAGGCCTCGAATAGGTCTGTGGTATATTATAGGACTTGTTGGTATATTTGATTGAGGTCTCGGGGGCCTCGGGTGAGTTTCAGATGGTTAACAGATCAAATTCGAACTTAAAACCACTGCTAAAAATTTTGCTTATGGTATTTTCGCACCTGCGGAAGTATGATCACAGGTGCGAAGTCGCATGTGCGCGCAATCAGTCGCAGAAGCGGCCAAGAGTGGAACTGGGCAGTGCTTGCAGGTGCAAGAAATTTTCCCGCATCTGCGAGGCCGCAGGTGCGAAGGGTAACGCGTATCTGCGAGCCCGCAGATGCGAGAAGGGCGCCGCAGATGCGAGGTTTTGGAAGGCTG